TTTTTTTTTTTTAATTTATTTAAAGGAAAACACGTACGGTATCCGCGATGAACACTTTTCGCAATAAACACACAAAAAGTTCAATAAATTTTAATAAGTTTGAAAACTTTTAAAAACGTATAACGCAATTAAGAAATTAAATTGCAAAAATTTTATTTACAAAAATTCTCTATTTTTTATTTTGGAATGAATATTATAAATAAAAAAGTAAAATATAACTGGGTATATTAGCAGTACAGTGAAATATAACTGGGCATATTTCTTCTCAGGTTCGTCGTTTATTGCTGCCGATTAATGAATCGTTATTATCTATACATCAGGTATTATTATTTGTGTTATATTATTATTGTTTATTATTATATTTATTATTATTTATTATATTGTTTATTATTTTATTGTTAAGCAGCGGATCATAGCCACGGTAGCTGGCTGGAAAAAGCAGTAGCAACACTCAAAGAGGAGGATGTAGTTTGGAAGATCTACTTCGATGAAATATTAACTAATAAACACGCAACCTACATCCGTTCGGAGGACAGCAGCAGCACTACGAGCAACGAGAAACACCAAACTGTCCTCATCTTCGGAGTAGAAAGCCTGTTGGCCGCGTTCAATCTCATACTCAGCTATCACCCAATGACATCCAATCGAGAAAATATAGCAGACATTCTGGAAAGAAATATACAACTAGTGAAAGAGCTAGGATTGGACGTCAAGGCGGTCGTCTGCGGCGAAAACTCCGTACACATAAACTTCTGCTCCGATTGTTCCCGAACAGAGTATACGAAAACGATGGAAAACCAATATACAAACTCCACAACTATTCCCAACAACCGAAAAAAACATATGCCATATTGGTCGAAAAGCCCCATCAAAATGCATTCCCAAGGATGGATCCTCTCCTAAACTGTCAGCAGCAACCAGCTACAAACGGATGAGAGTTTCCGGGGAATGAGCTAAAAAATGCGTAGTTGGCTTGCGATCTGTGCATGGAACTGACAAAATTCGTCGACATCTTGCATCGGAACACAATCGACGCTAATAATAAACAAATCTTTGGATGAGTACGCCAATTATATGCAAAATAATTTCAATGCTGCTACACTAGCCAAAGAAGTAATAGAAATAATCAACAATTTTCCTGGGCTACTAGAAGAAGTTTTGGAAGCTTACCTTAATGCAAGAGTATCTTCCTACGGAGAAGCCAGTTATTATCAACAAGTTTTGTAAATGTAAATCACGAGCATGTTCTGAATTCAATGTTATTATATATATATATATATATATTTGATTATATATATGCATATATATATCAAATTATTTTATTATTATTACTACATATATATATACATTATTATGAGTAATAATTTAGCTATTATTATTATAATATTATTATATTACTTAGATATACTAATAATAATATAATATAAAAATATATATATATATATATATACTAGATATATTTTTATTATATTTGCATGTAAATGTTATGTTAAAATATTATTTAGATAATAAATATCATCGGTATTGTTATTATATTGTAATATTGTATGTATCATTATTAAAAAAAAAACTTCCGTGGGATTTTATTACAAATAAGATTGTAATGTTAAATAAAACAAGAGCGTAGGCCTAAGGGTATTCCAATAATTTTGAAACAATTGTAGTGTGACTGCATATGCAGACGCGCGTCCACTAGAAGAAAATAAAAACCACAGAGTGTGGCACACTTCAAAACGCTACGAATTGGATTTCTTAGTAATAACGCAATTGCGAACAAATACAATGAACGCAATTTGAAGCTAAGTGTCTCCATTCACAATTATGCTGAGCATAGCATTAAGTAACTCTATCCATAAACTTAAGTAAAAAATGAAGAACCTTGATATAAGGAATATGGAATAAAGAAAGTGAATTCGTGATAACAGGATCAATTGCAGTGTTCCATTCACTATAAGCTAGCAAAAAACGAAGTTGTAAGATTTGTGCAAGTTCAAGCCGAACGGATAGGTTACACAATTAAGAGGAATCTTGAATAGATTTTATAAGAGTGAACTTTGCAAATATATTAATTGTATACAACTATCCTCCACATCACGACATTACACAATTGACAACTCGCCTACCACGGTACCTCGATGGTGTTGCGGGAAACCGTGAAACCATAAGCTGGAAGAGAGTATCGGAAAGTGAAGGAATATAAGGAAATGTCAACCAACCACATTTACTGAATCAACTCTTTCGACTCGCTTTAGACACTTCTTTGCCTCCTACAAATATTCTGCTAGAAATGAAATAGAATGCCAAGACAGGAGTTTAACGAATTTTCTTTATTTTTTTAGGTTTTCAAATCACTTTTTATTTATTTATTTATTTATTTATTTATTTATTCCACTTATACAAGAAACTCAACTAAAAATGGCAGTCGAGTTCAATTGACTCTTAAGTAAATCTTAAAATTATTTAATAATAAAACTTAGTATAAGTACAATAAAACAAATAGGGAGGAAAAAAAAAAGAAAGAAAAAAAAAAAAAAGCATGTACACAATTAGCATAGAGCCACGCCCACAACCGATACAGGACCAAATTGCAAGTGAACCCCTAAGCCATCGCAAACATGCATAAGCTTGGCAACCGATAATTGGTAACAACAAATTAATTTTCGACTCATAATGACAAAATCTAAGGTTAAATCAGTTTAAGTACGACATAGGTAAATCGCGCTTGTTGAGCAATATTGCTTTAATAGACTTTAAAGAGTCCGTTAATGAGAATAGATGATAGACATCATTTAGGTTCTTGCAAACAACTCTGAGCGGGTTAAACAGTTCAAAGTTATATTTGCATTGACTAAGCTTTATCAACATAAAGTACCTAGAGAAGCGGTTAGGGACATTAAAGCAAATCTCACGAAGTAATGCGGGCGAATCAATTGCACCATTTATTAATTTGATTAGGAAGGAAACCCCAAGAACAAATCTACGTTTCTCGAGTGACGGTAAGGATAACAGAAGCAACCTATTTTCATAGGGTGGAAGAGGGGAAATCGGGTCCCAACCCAAATTTCTAAGTGCAAACAGCAAGAATTGCTTTTGTATAGATTCAATTGAACCAACGTAGCATCTATATGAAGGAGACCACACAACAGAGGCATACTCAAGAATAGGTCTAACCAAACACGTGTAAAGCCTTTTAGTAATATAAGGATCATCAAGCTCTTTGGACCACCTCTTTATAAAACCAAGAGCGGACCTAGCTTTGCTTAACGAGGACTCAATATGCAAATTGAAACGTAGCCTATAATCGAATAGAACGCCTAAATCAATGAACGAATCGACGTCTTCCAACCTGTGCGAATCAATGAAGTATTGGGTACTAAACGACTTCCTTCTTAAGAAAGAAAGCTTCTTACATTTATTTAGATTTAGCTTCAGAAGATTGAGGGAGCACCATGCAACCAAATTGTTCAAATCACTTTGAAGATGATGTGATTGCGATTCTACGGAAAAAGAAGTAAACAGTTTCACATCATCAGCATACATTAAAATCTTACTGAATTTAATCACGGAGGGCAAATCATTGATGTAAAGATTAAATAAAATAGGTCCCAAGTGGCTACCTTGAGGTACGCCAGACGTCACGGGAAATTCATCCGAGGTAATGAGGTTAAACAAAACCCTGAATGATCTACCATACAGATAAGAGCTTAACCATTCAACTAAGAAGAGAGGAAAGCCAGAGGTCTGGATTTTAAATCTAAGAAGTCTATGATTAACCATATCAAACGCCTTGCTAAAGTCAGTGTAAATGACATCAGTGCGAGAACCACTAGAAAAAGCCTTGAAAACATGAGAACTAAACTCCAACAGATTGGTCACCGTAGATCTTCCCTTTCGAAAACCATGCTGGAAAGGAGAAATATACAATTTCATGGAAAAGGCTATATGCTGAGCCACAATTCGCTCGAACAGTTTAGGTAAGACACTCAACTTGGCGATGCCTCTGTAGTTCTCTACAAGTTGCCTACTACCACTTTTGTGAATAGGAATAAGGAAAGAAGTCTTCCAACACAAAGGGAAAACACCTAAATTCAAAGACTTATTAAAAATCTTTGAGATAACATCACAAAGCTCGCCAGCACAAGATATAAGTACACATGAGGGGATGCCATCGGGTCCAGGCGAACAATTATATTTCAGAGAGTTCAATCCTTCAAAAACCATATAACAAAGTTAGGAATTGAAACCGAATTAGAAATCGAATATGGATAATTTTCCGATAATTCAAAATTGGCAGTTGAAAAGTTCTGTCGGAAGTATTCCGCAAAGAGATTTGAGGATTCAAAATCATCCGAGGACTCGGAGCCATTAAAAGACACAAACGACGGGTTTATGGAGATTTTTCTTTTGGAATTAACGAACTTAAAAAAGTATTTAGGGTTAGCAAACAAGGAGGATTTAACAAACTGAAGGTATCTGCAGTAGTATTGGCGGTTGAGGGAATTAAATTTATGCCTTGCAACAGAGTAAGCGAAATAGTCGAAAGAAGAACCACTTTTCGAAAATTTTTTGAACAACTTGTTTTTCCTATTCTTGTAGTAATTAACTGTCTTATTAAACCACGGGGGATCCTTACTTCGAGGACGGGACTGCTTGATCGGAACGGATGCAGAAATAGCTTGATTTAATACACTTCAATTGTAAAAGCTGCTAGGACCAAACAAAGGTGTATGATCCTATACGTAGTTATAAGTTAGTCTTACGTATTTAAAATAACTTAAGCATATTTGTTTTCCACTCATTTTCTTTTGTAGTAAACAGTTTGTTATTTTCTTGTGGGTATTATAGGGATGCTATCGTAAATACTGTGAGGACACAAAGTCGTCCCTCGTTTTAGATTAAGATAGGATAGGAATAGATTATTATTATCATTATTATTATTATTATTATTATAATTTTAGACTAATGAAGTAAATTCTTAGACTAAAAAAAAGACATTGAGCACTAGCAACACAGGCTATCGGCTCTAAATAAATGGATATTAGATAATGAGCTTAGTGGGATTAAAAAAGTAATACATTGAATTGATCTTCTGTTCTGAAGCTGATTGTAGAATGTTCAAAGGGTTAATCGTTCCAAATGCAATACTTCTATCCAAGGAAAAGTTGAGGCAGTTGCAGAGAATGTGCGTTATAGTAAGAGTTTGTCCACAACAGCAGATTGGGGAAGAAGACTTCTTCAGGATCCATTGGTGAGTTGCAATTGTAAGACCAAGGCGAATTCTCGAGAATGTTTGGATCTTGGTTTTCTCAACATTTGTTGGATATAGAGGTGGAGTAGCATCAACCACGGCACAAGCAGGAGGCAGACCAGAAGATTTTGAGCCGTCTGTGTATAAAAGATTCCAACCAGTGCTTTCCAATATTTGGGTTTTGTTACCTATTAAATTCCTGAAGACGTAATTTGGTGTATTTTCTTTCTTGTGCATAGACAGCGAAATGTCAAAAGAGCAGTCTTTCAAAATCCATGACAGTTTAACACCAAAAGAGCGGAAAATTTTTAAGGGAATGTTCAATTCCTTTGCGACGTACAAACAATAGTCAATTGCAGATGGTGACTTTGGAATTTTCTTCGCAATAATAATCTTTCTCACGTCATCACCGAGAATAGATTTGTTTGAATTAAGAAACTTGGAGACTATTTTGGCTTTTAACTCATAAAGTTTATTTTCTAAAGTTGGGAGACCAGTGTCGATTATAATATTATTTATGAGTGTCGTCCGAAAAGCATAACAA